CGGCAGCCGATTCAGACGTTGAATTTCTGTCGAATTTAATTCATTGAATTGAATTCGACACGGCAGAAATGCGACGTATGAACCGGGCCTTAGCTCTTGACCTCAAATTTTCAAGATTTTCAAAATGTTCACTGGGTTAATTGATATGAAAGAGGGAGTTTGCCATAGAATTATTAGGATGGAAGTTATCAAAATAAATGTTTCACAATTAAGATTGCGCAGTTTTAGATGGTTGTCAGAACTCCGCATTTTCAAATTTTGCAAAATCCCTCATTACTCGATCGTACTCGTTTCGGTGGTATCGTTTCGGTTGGTGGCTACGTTTCGGTCGTTTTGGTGATTTCGTCTCGCTCGTTTCGTTTTGGTCGTTTCGGTGGTTTCGGTGGTTTCGTTTTAGTCGTTTAGATTTGTACGTTGCTTCGGGTTTTAATAAATGCCAGAAGGAAGACCAGCAAATTTGATTCCAATGTTTCTTTTCTTGCTTACCATAAAAGCAAACAGTAGTTCCAAGTACAAGGCTGACTCCGGCCAGAATACAACCTTGCACGTCATACGAGTTGTGCAGCTTGCAATTATCGGCATCTGATTCCAGACTTATAGCCATCGAGAAACCGTTGCCTTCAAGGAACACAACTTTTGTTTCCAATGAATCAAGAGTGTTACTTTGCAAAATAGGCCCTTTGCAGGATCCGGTCACATGGTACGGAATTAATTACGCTGGGACGTAAGTTACGCAGTGGGCTGGACTGGTAAGAATTCCTTTGTTTTGGAAGTCCCACTGCGTAACTTGCGTCCCAGCATAATTAATTCCGTACCATGTGACCGGATCGTGCAAAGGGTCTATCCTGCAGGATTCAGCTGGACACTGAAAGCTCCGTTTTTCCCATAATAATTTTAAATGAAAGCGGAAGTAAGATTGTGCCAAGGGCGTCTTTTACCACACCAATGTGTTTTTGAAAGTATCCGTTTTTGTCTCAACCTGGTCTCAACGTAGCCTGTGTGGTAGGCGTCCGAAAGGGAGGGGTTAGGGGAAAAAATGAGCGCGCGAAGCGCGTGATGGTAAGCGACACCGTCCCTCCTTGAAGTGTGCTCGATCTTCCCGCGCTCATTTTGACCCTTTCCCTCCCCTTCTACGGCCTGCCACGCAGGCTAGTCTCAACGAAAACGAAGCAAAATATTTTCGCCCACACTCAGGTTTTCGGTTTATTTTCATCTGTCCGCATTAATACATTTTCGTATGAAAACGCATACTCTTTAGTACGTTTTCGCCTGTCGTCCACAATAATGGTGATGGGAAAATGCTTAAGGTATCCGTTTCAAATGTAAACCAGTAGTGTGGTCGGGACCTCATGAGGATATAAAGGCTTTCAGGAGGGTGTCAGAAGACAGCTGGTCTGAGACGGGAGTATCGGGGGTGCGGGAGGGAACTCCCATATCAAAAGGAAGGGGGTGCTCGTCGTACGTTTGAGGGGTTGAACAGGATCTTGGTACCTCTGAGGGGTTCTTTTTATTGGAGTCCCCCCCGGAATTGAGAACTTACCATAGTGCTCTTCAACGCCTTGAATTCAACGCTCTAAGATTTTAGGTTCAAGTTTTACGGAGTCACCCTTCAGTACACTTTCAGTACACTCTCATTTTCTCTTGTTCAGTATTAACCCTCCGCCCTCGCCTCGTTTTACAACTACCCTTGGAAGAAAGCGGTGAGGACAAGAAAATAAAGCAAGAGTATGCTGAAATCTGATACCAGGTATGCAATCAGATCAAGAAATTTTAGAGCGATGCAAATTTACCGTTTCCATTTATCTGTAGTTATTGTCAACTTTATATCGGCTCTTTTGTTTCAAAAATTTTGTAACCGTGAAAAGGAGAGTCAGCTGTTATTGCCAACGACGCGAGAAACCTCTACAGATACTATCACGTGGCAGACACTGGCTTTCCCTTATTTTTCGAAAAGCCCAGTGACAGTGGGCAAAAGCAGTGAAGGAATACAACGTCCAAAAACAACCAACGCTAACCTCGAAAACCTTGCCAAGGTCTCCAGGCAAATCGAATGCTTATAGCAACATTTCCGACCAAATCAAGTTTGCACCATGCCATGGTAGCTATTTAGGGTTTCCTTTACAAATCGACCTCTGCACTTTGCTGGTGCGATAGTTACATCTTATCTTACCATTTTGGTACGGTTCACTTCCGTGGCATATCAGCCGAGTTTGGTCGAAGTCAAAATACCCAAGGCGGGACCAAACGAGCGGTAAGATTAGGTAGTTACCGTACCCAAATTGGGCCATAAATCCGACCATATCGGGTCAGTGACTTGATATTGCAGGATTTCAGAACAGTAGACACGGCTTTTGATTGGTCTATAACCAATTTGCGTACGGTAATAATACCATTACATTACATTGCTTTATTTACCCTCGGATTAATCAACCAATCACAGCACGCACAGCGGTTTCATTAATTCCTTCTCTTCTAGTTAGGCAAGAAAAATAACTGGCCAAATGTAGCTTTTTCAAGCACATTCTAGGGTATGAGACAGGGTATGCTTTTTACCGTCACACCCAAAATTGACTATTACGCTCCTAATTATGCAGTAAAAACTATTTCTCATTCATCGTCCTCTTGCTAAACAAAACGCCATTTTCCCATTACATTAGCAACGAAAAAATGCAAACAAGTTCTAAAAGAACAAAAAAATATAAATCTTTTTATCACAAAATGGCACTATTATGTCGGCATTTTGCGCCAACCCCTAGCACATTTCGATCTAATACTCTTTCGCTTTAGTGCAGAGATTTTGCTTCATTGCAAAGAATCTTCCAGGGTGCCTTAGAGACTCGCCCTTTTGTTTCCAGTTTTGATGCGAAACATTACCGTTTCTTGGTTTTTGCGATAAAAAGTGCCTACAATTGCTCGTCACCGGGGTAAAAGCACCGTCTCCCTTTTTCGTGTCTTATTTGTTTCGCATTTTTTAGAAAATGTTTTGCAACAAGTCCCCTTCGAGCCAGTATTGCATTGTGCATCTCTTGTTATATCGTTCTCCAGTTCATGTATAGCCTCCGCTCTTTGGGCTGGTAACCTCTAGAGGAGCGGCGTATAACCGGGGAGAGCGCCGAGGGACGGCAGGTCAAGCAAGAGGGTTAGGGTTGAGTGGTGAATAGGGGGAAGTTGCCATTACCATTATTGACAGCTAACCGTACACAGTCTAACCTAACCATGGTGCTTGTCAGGCTGACTAGATTGCTACTGAGGCTCACTCCCCACGTGTCACTCCTCATCCACCGTGAAGCACCATCGCCAATAGGTCACTTTCGACATATTAGAATTCAGCTTGATAGTGAGGCTTAGAGGACACAAACAAAAGAAACGAATAAACATGGTCATTCAAATTCCTTTGTTTGTGTCCTCTAAGCCTCGCTGCCATTCAGAATTTTGATATATCGAAAGTGGTCTTTCATACCCAAAAGACATTATTCGCAGCCCCCTCCTGTGTTTTATCAATTACTGAAGAGCCCCTCCCTCCTCCAATCAGGGTCTCTTAAAGTAGAAATCCATTGCTCTTCGAAATGTTAGAAATGATGTTTCTAACCCTATGACATAAACTCTTGTAGCTTGATTAAGAAAATCACACAAACAGCGGTGATAGACATTGTATTCCAATGCATTTTAATACAGGACTTGACGTTTCATACGCTAGTCAACATACATTTTCAAAAGTGACCGTTACTAATGTTTGAAAACTATTTATATCGTAAATATTAGAGGTCTGGAACCTAAACTGCAGCAGTAAGTTAACCTGTCTAAACGACATGAGGGGTAACTGAACAGCTAGTAAAGCAACAACATCTCACTACGGACACTGACATTTAGGGAAGGCTTTAGCTCTTGATTGAACGGTGTCTCTTAAATTTTGCAATGAAGGTCAGTTTGAGGACGCTAAAATGTCAAAATGATCCCATTTTATGTTGTGACCGGTGGTTTTCACATGATCAGCAATGGCTGATGAATGGTCACCTCTAGCGGGGACCTTGAAATGTTCTGTTTTTCTGTCATGGAGTCTTCGTTTTGTTTTGCCAACGTAAAATTCATTACCGTTCCAGCAACCAGCTTTATAGATTACTTTAGCGATTCAAGCGATTATTGTATGGAAAAAAAGATTTGATGCGGCGTGTGTTCTGGAATATGATCTTGAGGTTGACGAAAGGGTAGGTCGGGATTTAGTTGCCGTGAAGACCTGAGTAGGGTAACAGGATTAAGACATCTTTTGGGGGAACTGTAACTTGAGCAGGGTTATTTGGCTTGTTTTTATTCTTGTTCTTTGTAACTCTGTTTTGTGGTTTGAATCATTATACTGCAACACTGAATGAATTAACTGTTAGAGAGCTGAAATTTAAGGGTAAATGGCCTTGAAGACAAATCTGTCAAATCTCGCCCTCAGAATTCGTCCCCAAGGTCTTCTCAGACTTTAAACGCCCGTTATTACCCAGCCCTCTGGAGGGAAAAACAATCCCTTGGAATGCTTTTTCCTATTCACTTCCGCGTAGTCATGGAACGATTACCTATAATCATCTCCTTCTGTTTGTAAAAAGCATGGCTCACAGCAGGCAGGGAGGTGGGAATATACAAAGTTCTATGTGCCAAATTAGGAAACAAGTGCCGGGAAATCAGTTTGCTACGACAGGTAGTGCTTGTGTTCTAACCTGGCCTTGGAAACTAGAAGAACGTCAGGGACAGACAACAACACAGACCGCAACGGCAGCGGAAACATTTTTGGTAACTACAAGTCAGGTTGTCAACAAATTAGATTTGAACTCCAACACAGCTTGGAAAGCTGACTTCTTAACCATCAGGAAATCGCTGGGTACTGAAAGATTTAGTCTAAACAACGTCCCGGTTTATGAAGTGGCTACTCCAAGTCAGGAAATAACTCTAATCTTGATTCCTACAGATGCTTTACGCAAGCAAATGAAGTGGTCACTATTCCGAGGAAATCAATTTCAGTCTGTACGTTCTCAGCTCTGCTATCAAAGAGGAAGTGATTCGGAGTTTAAAGCATCTGATCCGAAACAGCTCCTTTACTGCTATGTGCTGTCGGAAAGTTCCTCGTCAAACAACAAGTTTTCTCTCCAGTGTTACCTACTATACTTGGATGAATGCGGGTCATATTTCCTTCAAACCCATGGGAGCAAAGCTAAATTGAGAACAGCCGAAGATTTCCCGTCTACCGAAAAACCAAAGGGCTCGGTAATTTTGAGCGAGGACGGCTACATTGTAGGATTTTTGGCATTCAGCGACGAGGATGAGATTCTTCCATTGTTCTTTCCACGAAATGTGCAAGGTAAGCAATTTTCTTGGCAAACTTTCTTAACTGACTGCTTTATAGTAATAAGAAAGTTGAGGTCACATTTTCTAGATACGTGGTCTACTGTTGCCGTGTGTGTTACCATTATGTTGCAATTTATTTTTCACACAGTACGTAAGCGTGTTCAATTCTTGCGTGAAACCTCCGCGGAAGTTACAGTAAGAGTTTGACGTGGTTGTTCTAGTTGTGGAAGCATTTTGCATGTGAGCGAGCGCGATGTGGGACACAACTACTAAATAATCACTTTGGGGGCAGTTACTTGGGCAACGTCCACAACACAAAATTAATATTTATACCACTGCTGTAATATTATCTCAAAACGTTGCATGCAAGTTTCGCGTAAAACTGAACGGTGTAACAGCTTGGCCAGATACCCTTGTGAGATGACTTTAAGAATTCCTAGGAATTCCTAGGAATTTCCTAAGAATTCCTAGGAAAAAATTCCTAGGAATTCCTAAGAATTCCTAGG